AGAGTTAATTAAATTTTTTATATAAGTTTTAAATAATTAAGCTGTTAATTATTGTAATGTATAGTATTACTTATATTATTTTTAAATATATTTAAATATTATATGTTAGGTTTTTTATCCTAATTTATATGGCATTGATAGAATTTAAAGTGTCAAATAATTGTTAATTATTGTAATAGATAATATGGAGTATTTAAGTCATTTATAGTATAGTAATTAATATATAATATGTAGTATTTAAGTGTTATATTATGGAATTTGAGAAGTTATTGAAATTTTTATATGATTTTAAAAATATTTTAAATTGTTAGCTATTGTGATTTGTAGTACTTTTTTTTTAACATAATTTTGAAAGTAATATTTATTATTCTATTTGTTCTAATTTATGTGGCAGATGTAGAATTTCAAATATTAACCCTTTTTTATATGTCTCTTTAATATATTAAGTTGTTAATTATTGTATTTTATAGTACATTTTGAACCTAATTTTTTAATAATATATGTTATTTGCCATGTCCCAATTTATGTGGCATTAATTGATAGATTTGTTGGAGTCGAGAGATTTATTTTGTTAATTATTGTAATTTATAATTTGTTTTTCGTCAATTTCGTCGACTATTTTTTTTATTAATTATTGTAATTTATTGTTTCTTTTTCGTCAATTTCAAACAATATATGTTGTTAATTGATAGATTTTTTGGAGTGGACTATTTTTTTATTAATTATTGTGATTTATTGTTTCTTTTTCGTCAATTTCAAACAATATATGTTTATCATATAATCCATTTTATGTGGTACCAATAGAATTTAGAGAGTCAATTAAATTTTTTATATAAGTTTTAAATAATTAAGCTGTTAATTATTGTAATGTATAGTATTACTTATATTATTTTTAAATATATTTAAATATTATATGTTAGGTTTTTTATCCTAATTTATATGGCATTGATAGAATTTAAAGTGTCAAATAATTGTTAATTATTGTAATAGATAATATGGAGTATTTAAGTCATTTATAGTATAGTAATTAATATATAATATGTAGTATTTAAGTGTTATATTATGGAATTTGAGAAGTTATTGAAATTTTTATATGATTTTAAAAATATTTTAAATTCATAACTATATATTTCAATGTACAAGATTTTGATAAAATAAAATCTTTAAAGTTAAATTATAATGTTTTTGAAATTTAAATTATTAAAACATATATAATGATTTTATAGGAAAAAATAATAGCATATAAAATTAAATGAAAAGGATAATAAATTCAACTTTTACCATGATAAGGTTGAAAATTATTATTTAAGTGGAAGGAGGTGGGGCCCACTTATATATATTATATAGTAAGTATTGGACATTTATAATGATTTAATTGGAACAATGGTAGTAATTCCTAGACTCTTCTAATATATATATATAGTAATAATAAGAAAAAGTATATACGAGTCATTTGTATAAAGGTAAAAATATATATGAATCACTTTTAGCCTTTTCCCTTTAATTTATTTAATGGCCCTCACTTCTGCTACTTATTTCACATTGCTACTCCTTCACAAATCAGAGTCTTAAAAAGAATACTCTTTTTCTCCATAAACTATACTGCTCTTTCTTGCCCAGTTTACTGGTAAGTTTCTCCTTTTTTTTTATTTGGCCTTTTTATGTTAGTTTGTGTTAATTTCTAATTCGAGATGTTTTGAATTTTCCATGAAATATTTAGCTTTTTTTGTGTAAAATTTTAGGCTACTGTATTGCATGTTTCCTTTTTTGCTTTTTTTTTCATGGTTTAATCTTAAATGTCATCGGTTTCAGCTCTTTCAAGATATGATTAATCTTAAATTTCATCTGTTTCAACTCTTTCAAGGTAAGTAACAATTTATTAGGAGTTTGTTATATTTAGTTACAACATCAATAATTGCATAAAAGGTGTTTGTGAAATTGCCCAAAAGAAAGTACAGTTATTTCTGGACTATGTTAGAAAGCCTTACCACTTAATTTTGCTTATGGATTTGAATATCGCCACAAGTTCAATGTTAGAATTCGAAACCAAATAAGAAATTTAGGGGAAGACGGAGGGTTCTGAAAGACAGAGTAATGATGATGGTGATAGGCTTATGTTATCACTTTAAGCCTGTAGGCATTTCATTTGTTTGATTTTACGAGATGTACAACTTTAATGTTGGCCTTTTTCTGCTTGGTTTTTGTTTGCAGTTGTTGCTACTATTAAGTTTTTCCTCGGTCTCCAAATTCCTTGTACTCGAGAGTTAAATTTTCTTTTTGTTTTGGTGAGATGGATTATTGTATTTCTTGAAAGTTAAACACTTTAGACTAAAGCATTATCTTTTGGCTTTTACCTAGAAAGAAGACAGGATCTTTTTGATTGTGAAGATATTGAGAAGGTATGGGTTTGTTATGCTAAGCATGTATTTACTGAAACCTTTTGAATTACAATGTTAGTCACCACTTTTAACCAAAGGCCTTCTTGTACACATCCTAGATGGCAGTATTTATGTCAAAGAATTTTTGGTATAATATAGATACAAAAGAATTATACAATGTTGAATTAATACTCAATAAAGTTAGAATGTTTTTTGTTATTTACTATGCTGGCGGGAAATAATAATACTTAATGAAATAGTCGAGGTGTGTGCAAGTTGGTCCGAACACCACCATCAATTCCTCATATAAAAAGAAGTTAGAAACTTTACATTTATAGAAGCACAACCCAGAAGGTGAACTTCTCATATTTTCATGTAGGACAAATCTCAATTGATTATTTCCATTTCTTTGTGTAGAAGTGGATAAATCATATGTGTTCTCACTGTTGTATTACTACCCAAAAAGTTAGTGAATTTACCATTTCATGTATTTTGGTTTAGTATATGGATCGTGTTAGTAAAGATTCTCAAGCAAACCACGGCCAAGTTCATATAAATAGTCAAGAGATGCATAGGTATCAAGGTTGTGGTTAATGGTTCTGCACAGTTGCAGATGCAAAATAACCACCGAAGGAAGGGATTTAGTGTCTTAAACTTCTATCATGAGTAGTAGAGCAAATATATTTTTTCAGTGCCATAATCTTTCTTCAATTTCTACAGGAGCATGAATATGCTATAACATTTTTTAGTTTTGTTTTGGTGGAGGGGGAAAGGAGCTCATGGGGGAGTGAATTAACTAGAGAATGTTGCAAATATAGTATTTGACATTTTTCTTGGGTATAAGATAGTTGCTGTTCGTTCTGCTGTCCGTTTGGCTTGTTGAGCACGGAGAGAAAATTGGGACACCCTATAGCTATGACCTGTTGCTACCAGGAAAACTCTTAAGGCATGGAGTTGCAAGGTGGAAAAAGCATAGTAGTTCCCATGAAAGTGTTCTGAGATTTATGGCATAGTTGTATAATTGTTTCTAAATACTTGGTGCTACCCCCAACTTTACTATGTATTGAGTTGGCTGTCCTGCTCAGTATTTTAATCATGATAATTGTGTGTCTCATTTCTGTTTGTCCCATTCCTTTGGTTTTCATGCGGTTGTTCTACTTCTTCTTGTCTGGGATTAACTCAATGTTCTTATAATCCAGATGCTAAGGTCTAGGATGTGATGAGGTGGAACAAAGATGAGAGTCGTTGCTTACTATTTCTGGTCAGGCGCTTTTCTAGATCTGTGGGCCATTCTGCACAAGCAAATCATTGTGAACCTGTGATTCGAGTGTCAAACAATATTACACATTTGGGCCGTCAAAAGGAGGGTGCAAAACCCAGCCAGCTATTGTCTTTACCCCCATTTCCTGGTCATCCTTTACCGGGAAAGAAAGTGGCCACCGGTCCTGACCAACCATCTTGTCATGTTACTGCCATTAGCTGGATCAAATACTACTTTGATGAGATACCAGGCTCGGTCATCCAAACCCATTTTAATAAGGGCCTCGTAAGTATTCTTATATCTATTCCTTCCCCTATGTGAGTTATTATGATGTTTCTTCTATAAAATCTCCACCTAGCAATGTATGGTAGTTCCGTTTTCTGTGTATATTAAATTACATTCCTATCCTACGGATTCCTGGTACAACTAGTAAGGGTTCAAATCCCAACAGAGATAAACCACTAGGTGATTTAATCACTAGATGGAAAGAAATCACCTAGAAATCACAGGTCTTGTTGGGACAGAGTTACCGGTACTTGTGCTGGTGGGAGGTAGCAGCCTAGCAGGTAGCTCATAAAATAGTCGAGGTGCGTGCAAACTGGCCTGGACACCATTGTTATTACTGCTACTAAAAAAAATTGCTACATGTTTAATGTTAGCATAGTGTTTGTGACAATATGTAGAGAGACTTAAACATGCAAGTTACAAGGGTCAGTTTTTGGATAACTAATGACAATTTCATTTGAACATTGATCAATGACATATTATTCATCATCCTATAGTATGTTAACTTGCAGTTTTCTTGTTCTTAGTCTTTATATGTGCTGATGGCTAGTTCAGAAGTAGTGTCTAACTTTTCTGGTCTGATTTTACTATATCATTTTATCACCACAACATCAAGAATAGATATTTTATTTCATAAGGTAGAGTAAATCTGTTACGTGTGCATTTGTTTTGGTCCTCTTCTCCTACGTTTAAAATATAACCTTTATCTTACCCTTTTGAAGGGTCTAATGGCTATACTGTCTTTAGTTTGTTGTAATGAATATGAACATAGCAACAGTTATCTTATTTTTCTTTATTTACAGGTGCAGTTAGAGTTTAATGAGTTATTTACAAGCAAGGAAGGACAAACAAGATTGTTGAGGAAGGTATTGGTACTTGTATGAGTCTAGCAGTATAAACTTCATTTTGACCAAGGGGCCAAGGGGCTTCTTCAATTTGTTTTTGGACCCTGTGCTACAAGCCTACACTCCCAATGGGTTCCCCTATCTTACAATTTCACAGTGAATTTACAGATTAAGCATTCTGAGGTCATGGAAGTTGGTGCAAGAATTCATGTACCCATATCTGTTGCTGAAACAAGAATCTCAAAACGATATGATGTTATACCTAGTGGCACGTTGTATCCTAATGCTGATGAAATAGCATACTTGCAAAGGCTTGTATTTTACAAGGTATATGTTGTTTATTTGATTCTTCTCTGCAAGTTTTACATTTGATTTCTACTATTTCTGGTGGTAAAAGATTACACAGCTACTGTGGTTACTTTTTCTGCTTCTTAAGTTCGTTTGGTGGAACTATGCACCAAAGGTTATTCGTGGTTCCTGTATCTTATTAATTGTTCAAATTGTAGGATCCCGCCATACTTGTTCTAAACAAGCCCCCTAAGCTGCCTCTAAAGGTTTGTTTCTAAGTGTTCTTTATTGCATGATCTTGACTACCACATTCTTCAGCCTTTTTTCATTTCTGATTATTAGACTGATTACAGGGAAACCTTCCCGTGCATAATAGCATGGATGCCTTGGCAGCCGCAGCATTGTCTTATGAATATGACGAGGGTCCTAGGCTGGTAAGCTAAGCATAGCGAATATGCTATTAATTAAACGTTGAAGATCTCTTTACTTTTAATTTTTCTGAATATATCCTGGTGCGTTTAGTCAAAAAATAGGAGTTACTTTGCTCGTGAAGCAGCAATTGTGGGGGTTGGATATTTAAGCTGTTGATGTTAATTTGGAATTATGTTCAGCTTTGGTGATTACTGCATATATTGTCAAGGTACATCGTCTTGATAGAGAGAGCAGTGGCCTTCATTTAATGGGAAGAACAGAAGAAAGTATCTCCCATCTTCATTTATTGTTCAGCAACACAAAAAAGTCCAAGTCCCTGTCTAAGGTACTTAGTCTACAACCTATGCACCATCTTCATTTTTTGTTTGGCTTTTCTTTCGTTCCCTCTTCAAGGGAGAGAGGGTTTGCATTTTGTTGTGGGTGAGAATACCTGTTTTGACTTCACTGGTTGAGTTAGAATTTTTTGTGATGCATAAAGCTCTGACTGTCATTCAGGCATGGAATGATGCATGTGGGTCAACATATCAGAGGTATTGGGCATTGGTAATAGGTTCCCCCAAGGAGAAGGAAGGCGTGATCTCTGCACCACTTACAAAGGTTTTCCATTTTCCTTGCTTACATTTGCAGGCTTTGGTGAAGTACATTGAGTGTTCGTTGTGCTTGTTCATTGATTGCAGGTGCTTCTTGATGATGGTAGAACTGAGAGAGTCATGTTGGCTCAACAGTCGGGATTAGAAGCTTCTGATGAGGCTGTTACCGAATATAGGCTGCTTGGTCCAATGATCAATGGATGCTCATGGATCGAGTTGCGCCCTCATACAAGTAGAAAACATCAGGTTCCTTGGACCTTTTCCTTTTATGATCCCTGTAAAAAACAGTTCAGCTTTTAAATTGTGGAGAGATGCATATCGGTATTTAAGTTGCGATCCCTATGAAACCAGTGGTTCTTCTAAGTTGTGGTTATGTAAGTTGTGGAGAGATGCATAAAGTTTTTTTCTGAATGTAGTCCCTAAGTTAGGACCATTAGTAGGTCCAAGTAGAAAAACTTGCTTGATGAACCCAAAATGAGCGCAAGAGGAACTGATGAAGATGCTTCCATAAAGCAGTATTAATGAATTATGATGAGTAATATGTCTAGCATGTAGTTTTTTCCACTATTATAAGCATCTCAACTAGTGAGGATGGCCAATACAAACAACAGCATTAAGTGTGAGGAAGATGCTGCTTTACTACTGGAGATTTTGTGTGTGCCTATTCTGTGTTGGATACCCAACTCAACTGTAACTGAGAAGGCCATATTTTTGTTTCTGGTTGTTGGTTGTTGGCAAGGGAAGAGAATAGGTGAAAAATTACTCTGTTTTCTGTTACTTTGCAGATTCGAGTTCATTGTGCTGAAGCCCTTGGAACTCCAATTGTGGGCGACTACAAGTATGGTTGGTTTGTCCATCGCAAATGGAAGCAGATGCCGAGAGTAGATGTTGAGCCGACAACAGGGAAACCCTACAGATTAAAGAGGCCGGAAGGTTTGGATGTTCAGAAAGGAAGTGTCTTGTCTAAGGTCCCTTTGTTACATCTGCATTGTAGGGAGCTTGTGCTCCCAAATATTGCCAAATTTATTGAGCTTCACAGTCGAAAAACTAAAAAACACTCAGATTATAGCTCAAAACCAGATCTCCTCCGGTTTGTAGCACCAATGCCATCTCCCATGAAAATTAGTTGGAAGCTTATGTCCTCTTGCTTGATATGAAAATAACAAGTAACAAGAAGAAAAAGCTACTGGTTATGTTGTTGTTGTTGTTCTATTTGATTATTCCCTCAAGCTAATATTGGAGGTGTAATGTATACATATTCTATAGTAGGAAGGAATATCAAGATTACATTATCTGGTGCTGCAAATCAGCATTCCCATGATATGATTGCTGTTTAATTTTGTTCCTCATAAATGGCTTCTGATCTTCTCTTATAAAAAAAGTCAAAATCCACACTAAAATGTCAAGAAACTCATTCATAAAAAATACAGGAATGGTATGTCATTTTTCCAAGTTTAAAAATAATATACATATTTTTTGGGAGAAGCTATTTCATATATATTTCTAGTGATGGATCCATCTTATGGTGGTATTAACTTCAAGAGGTCTACCATTGAGGTAAGAAAATTCATACGATTATAGAATTCAATCACACCTTCTTAGAAATTTTGATTAAAATTATATTCAACAAAAGAATATCACTTTATAGATTGAATTAAATTAATATATTGTATACATCTCTAAATCTCAAATAGGGAAAGATAAATGAATAAATAATTATCATGTTGAATGATGTTGAAGATATATTGTTTTTAATTGCTTCAATGGTGTTGATAGTTATTTGCCCGTTTGGCCATGCAATATTGAATCATGATATGATATCATAATACGGAATCATGAGATGAAGTTGAAGTTTTGTTTGGACATGCGATATGAAATTTTTGGATTGTATATTTTCTCATATACATAAGAATTTCATAAGTTGTAAAACTATTCAACATAGCCTCAATTGTTTATTCAATATTATCAAATAAACAAAAAATTATAAAATCACATAACAAATTATTACAAAGCTATTTGTTCTCCACTTAATTAGTTGTTTCATCTAACTTTAATTGATCAAATTTTAATTCAATAAAAAAAATTGAACATAAATTATAGTGTATTAATCTTTAATGTAATCCTCCCACATAGTGCGAACAATCTTCTCACGTTGAACTTGCATTTCTCTATCATATGATCGAGAAGACGAAACCAACATTGTTACTTTGAGCCATTTGTTGGTCAATATCATTCGCAACTATATTTTCATGCTCATAGACCAGAAATATTTCATCACCCCTTTGGTATTATCACAAATAATTATGTAACATTGTACAAGTTATGACAGTTTTCACTTGTGTGTCAATATCATATGGTTCATGCCTTGTTTCACTTGTGTGCAATTGCACATTTTAAGTACATTAGTTTCGTGTTAAAATCAAACATATTGGAAGTAGTGATTATCAAACATACATCACTAATTTTGTCCTTTTTCATATTAAATTATTTTAAACATTTTCATACGTAACCGAAAGAGCAATTTTTTTTATTATGAAAAACCAAAAAAGTATTACTCCATCTGTTTGTATTTATATTCACCAAATTGAAAGCAATAATAAATTTTATGTTGGTGAGAATAATAAATTTTAAAAAGTAATGATGTGATTATTAATTTTTAGTTACATAGTATGAAATAAATGTTTAGTAGATATAATGTGGGGTTGTTTTAAAGAAATATAAGCTTGTGGGTCAATTTTTGTATTTAAAAATCTGAAATCATGATATTGAATTCCCATATCATGATTTTTGGAGAATATAGTATTTCATATCATGAGATGGAATCAGCGTGAAATCGCATGTCCAAACGTTGATTCCATCTTACGATTTCATATCGTGATATGATATCGCATGGCCAAACGCCTACTAAATAAAGATATCCTTAAATTGAGGATGAAATCAAGAGCATGAGAGCCTTCTTATTGTAGTTTAAGTTGCTTTTATGATATTATGTAAATATTATAAGTCAAAAATAATTTAAAACTTTTACTTGTTGCAAGCTTTGAAAGATTCTAACGGTGTAAAATAGACTTTCATTGGCAGTGGATATTAGCTAAATTATTTTTTACAAATGCTATTGTTGGGAGTGAGAGATTGTTGTGAAAGGCCTCAAAGTTTAATCACGTCATTTCTTTCTGAAAAATATGTCTTTTCTTTTGACAGTCTTGCTTTTATCGAATGCTTTTGAAGCTTTTATTATTCTTCCTTTTTATGGGTATGAGCACAAACAAACATCACGGTTCCTTTTCATTAGAAAACTAGTTTTTTATTAGATAAAATTGATTTGAAAAATATAATTATTACTAATTTAAAGGCCTAAGTCATCTCCGGCCACTCAAAGTTGTTTATATATTTCACTTGAACACCTTAACTAAGACTTGTACCTATTGAACACCTCTACAACTTTAAATTGATACCTATTTGACATTTTTTTAGTAATCATCCCCAAATATTAAGTGAGTGAGATACACTCACGATGACATGACACAATAACGAATTAAATTATGACATATGTCATTTAGGTAAAAAATATTATTAAAAAACATTGGGAAAGAAAAAACAGATATTTTAAAGTTAAAAAATAATTATGTAATCCCTATACAAACCCACCCACCCACCAAACACTCTTCCCCTGTTGCCCATCAGAACCATCCACCCGCCATTTCTTTCTCACTTACTTTTTCTTCTTCTTTGTATGAACAATGGCAGAATATTGAGATTCAAAAGTAAACAAAAAAAAACTTTAATGGTAACATTGTAAATCAACTATGGAAGATTTACATTAAAAAATAATTAAAAAAGAAATAAATTTTGAGGATAAAATAATATTTCATAGATCGAAACATTAATTGTAGAAATGGTGTTGTTTAAATTGCAAAGTTGGAACTTTGCTTACTTCTATAACTCGACAAAGATTCAGTCCTAGATTAAAAGGAAAAAAAAAACGCGACCAAGTCACGATCAAGCGATTCTAGATCTACAGAAAAAAAAAGCTACGCGGCAGCGTTAATGGCAGAGATGATGGTGATTGCTTAAATGAGGAGGAAGAAACGAATGTGCTGGCGGAGATAATGACAAATCTGATCGATGGTTAAGGAAGTGAAGTGACTAGAAAAAAAATGAAAGAAGAAGAAAGGTGTATGATGGGGCGGCCGGAGAAATTGGTGGTAACCAACACAAGGAAGAAGAAAGAGATTTTTTTAATTTAAAAAATGTCTGATTATATGTTTTCACGCGCTCATCAGCGGTGAATCACACTCAAAGTGCCATGTAGGCAAAAAGTGCTCAAGTGGTATCAATTTAAAATTCTACAAGTGTTTAATAGGCACAAATCTCAGTTGAGGTGTTTAAGTGAAATATGCGGACAACTTTAAGGAGCTGCAGATGACTTAAGCCTAATTTAAATGACGATTACATTCCACATGATTGAATTATATACGATATTAGTCTCAATTATAACTCAATTCAAAGCAAATGATGTTAACTTGATTGGCAACTGTGATCGCCTAACCTAGTTTGGTCGATCGATTGTCCCATCTAACAGGCAACAACCGATGATATTCTCAAATCGATTTGATCGAATTTCATTCTTCCTCAATATTCAAACAGTGGAGCATTCGATCAAGATCTTCTTCCATCTCCTATTTGGGCTCTCGCTTGAATCAAAACCTTTATGCCAACGATATTGTCAAATAAGGTTTCGTCATATATTGAACCAAAACAGAAATTGTCAATCATTTTAAATTTAAAATCAACCCAAACTAATGTTGGTTCTTTAGCGTCAATTTGATCTGATTTTTTGATATAGTTTAGTTTTTTCAATTTTTCTTGAACACATTTAGTGTGAATTCTTTATCCATTCCATCACGTTATGTATAAGAGACCTATTCTGTTATTATTTGGGGATCACAATTAACTTAGGCTTAATACAGTGATAATGATATTTGAATTACGTTTTTTTTTCATTAGGGGTAGGGAAAGGGAAAATGGGAAATGGGTAGGAAATTATAATGTGGGGAATCGAACCTGTCACGACCCGGGAGCACCCCCAAGTCGTAACAAGGCGTACTCGACCCCGAAGGGGTCTTATACGAGCCACATAGTCATTCATTGCATTCAATAATGAAAATAGTGCGGAATAAAAAAAACTTATTTACATCCACACATTTAAACTTCTTAAAACAACTTTAAAAACACACAGCGGAAGTCTAAGTCTCACATGGCCATCTTAGACACAAACAAAA